AGACAGACAGACAGAGAGAGAGTGAGACAGACAGACAGACAGACAGAGAGTGAGACAGACAGACAGACAGACAGAGAGACAGAGTGAGAGTGAGACAGACAGTCAGACAGACAGACAGACAGACAGACAGACAGACCTCCTTCCTCAGCAGCTCCTCGGCCTTGTTCCTGTTGACCTGTTTACTGAACCACCTGGAACAAACACAAACATCTGTCCAGCGTTTCTGTCTCTGATGTTTTTATGGATTGACTCCTTCGTTCCGTCAGAACGTCTGTGAACAGTGACTCACACAAACTGCTCCAGGTTTCCTGATTCTTTCTCTGTGACGTAGTTACTGGGGATGTAGCCTTCTTCACTGTGACACACACACACACAAGTTGAGTTCAGTTAAACTAAGATAAGATATGACTTGTTAAGATTCACTGAGATAAGTTCTGATCTAATATATGAGATCAGTTGAACGTTCGACCCTTTAGTGGTCCAGCTGCAGGTGAATCAGCTCTTAGCAGATTCCTATTATATATCACTGCATAGAAAACCTCAAAATGTCTGACCTCTAAATCAGGTTCTGTTAAAACAAGTTTCAAAGCTGCTGCTCTCAGGTTGAAACCCTCGTACGCATCGTTACAGCTCCTCATGATGAAAACACCTCACCTGTGCTTGTTGCGCACTTTGTACCAGTGGACGTCGCTCTTTTCCACGATGACGTACTCGCCTCCTTTGACCAGGCTCAGGTCATGTGGCTCAGTGGCAGAGAAGTTGTACAGAGCCACGACCACCTCCTCCTCCTCCTCCTCCTCCTCCTCCTCCTCCTCGTCTTCGTCCTCCTCCTCATCATCATCGACAGGCGTCGGGGGCTGGGGAGGAGGAATGACACTTGTTTGATATAATGGTGATTGTGTTGTGTGTGTGTTGTGTGTGTGAGTGTGAGTGTGTAGTTACCCTCCCATCTTTCCGTTCCTCTCCAGGAATTGGGGGTAAAGGTTTTCTGGAATCTAGAAAACAGGAACAGAAACAATGAACTAAAAACCCAGTTTCAGCATTTTCTGTTGCTCTCCCGCTGTGTGACCTTTGACCTCTTCCTCATATTGCTTATCATAGACCGACGCCCACCGCACATCTGCAGCAGCTGTGACTTTGAATGAATCAGCCTGACGGTTAATATTTTATCTCACAGGCGTGATTTCCTGTTTTTTCTTTACACTTGGTGAATCAAGTGTTTCAGATTTTACGCTTCAAGAAATATCCTGAAATGAAAACTACAACTGTTCTGACGATCGTAAATAAACACGGGGGGGGTCATCGTAGTGATGGCACTACTGCCAGCGACTGTGTTCAAGTCCTCAGCTCCGTCCTCATTAGAACCATTAGAAGGTTCAGGCTCACAGTTCATGTGAGACCAAGGTTTTGATCTGGTTGTTTTCAGGATTGTGGTCTTATGTGTCTTATGTGTCAGGGTCCTCACAACTATAGAAAAACAAATGTGTTTCTTACTGTCTCCAAACAGGTTGTACTCCTCGCAGCCCGGGGCCTGTTTTTCTGCCTGACGACAACAAAGCCACGCCCCCTCCTGCCAGAACTGGGGATGAAACTTCATCAGGACCTCTGGGTTGTCTTTTATTTCTGCACACACACACACACACACAGTTCCAATCGATCATGCATCAAAACTCACAGGACTTTCTGGAGCATGTGAACATCTGTAATATTTCCAGGTCGAGCACAAAGCAAGCAGAGGTGGAAGGTTTGTGTTGAACTAAGCTCGAGGTGAAGATGTGCTCAGAGAATGCTTGTTAGGAATGTTTGTGAAAATACACGTGTGCTCAGAAGAGACTATGACGACGGACTGGTCTGACAACATAACATCACTCAGTCCAGACTGAGATGCTCTCGTTTGCAGGGATGTCTGACAGATAAGATTCATGAGATCTGGACGTCACCTGGTGAGAATGAGTGCTGTCAAGTGGCAGTGATATGAGAAGTCAAGTCAGTGTGTAGTCAGTGAAGCAGCAAAAAGAGAGGGGCCCCAGCTCAGAGTCTTGAGGCCCCCTGTGGGGCAGGGAGTGGATAACTTGTCCCAATGACACAGTGAAGGAATGAAGCTGCCACGAAGGCGCCTGTCACAGATCACAGAGCAGTTCCAGTGGAGTGGGTGCTCTTCAGAAGAAAATGTTCTTTGTAATAAAAGAGGAAACAAAACTGATCGTTAAGTTGAGCAGGTTCAAGTGAACCCAGGTGTTAGACAAGCCCGTTTGAAGATGAAATCCTCCATTCTTTTTTATTTCAATTTATTAAATTTAAAATTGTAAGTAACATTCAAACCAAAAGTCTAAAAACGTGATTGATAAGAAAAACAAGAGGCATCGTTTATGATGCAATTTAAAGTCACATGATGCCAGTGGAAACAGCGGGGGCAGGGAGTGTGAAAACCAGTTTCAGATCTGTGGTTTAAAGTGTGAAAACGTGTGTTGGCAGCAGCTCCGAGTATAGACAGACGTGTAATCTGCAGTATATGAGAAGAGTACAAAAGAGAAGAAGAGAATCTGACCCTCTTTCAGGCTCTGGACCCAGACGCTCCTGCTGTCGTGACTCGGAGCGAAAACATAAAGTGTGTTAGTATCATACACCACCTAGACAAAAACACAGATTTCATTTTAAGAACAACTTAACATGTTGAACGTTTTCATTTTTAAAAAGCTTCTGTTTCAATGATAATGTTGCATTGACTCATTCACTCTTGACTCTGAAGCCATTTGATCTATAAAGCTGCAGAACAGAGACTCAAACAAGCGGAGAGTTCCTCATGTGATCCTGTGAAAACCATAACATGCAAATGAGTCAACTTTAACTACGTTTGTGGATATCTTCTCTTTGGACAGAGCCAGGCTAGCTGTGTCCACCTGTTTCCACTCTTTGTGCTAAGCTAATCAGCTGCCACCAATGTTTTTTAGAGCATTATCCACTAACAGAAAGTATTAGTATTTCTTTACTGTGAATAATCTAAGTTGAAGCCCTGGTAGATGTTGATCAGAACCTTGATGTTCAAATACAGTGCGAGGAAAACTCACGACCAATCACGGCTCTTGACTTTGTCACATGGTCTCTGTGGACGATGTCGACCTCGTGTGCAGTTACGTTTTCAAGAAAGTTCATTTTAGCATCAGCAGCGTCAAACTCTTTGGTTCAGAACTTTGGATCCTGTGATCCTGAATCAGCAGGTTTCTAACAGATTGAACAATTGGTTGAAAGTGACTCACAGAGAGTTGATGGATTTAAGACGAGTAAAATGTGTGATACCTGAAATGGGTATTTGTTCTGACAGGGAATGATTCTTCCTCCGTTCTTGACGATTTCCACACATCTGACCCGACTCAGCTCAATCGAGCCTCTTCTGAACCTCTTCTGTCGACAGAAACGTCAACACCAGATTTGATTCTCTATCATCATGAAGCACAAACTTTCACACCGAGACATTTCACACTGAGACATTTCACAC